CCGAGGTAGACGAGGTCGGTGCCCGAGACTGCAACCGCCGAGAGCGACGGCTGTAGCGGCAAAAGCGCACGCATGTTCGCCATCGTCGACGCCAATGTGGGCGCACGGCGCAGCACGATCGTGGGCCAGTCCAAGAGAAGCGACGTATCGGGCGTCGCGACGAGGTCCTGCAAGGCGACGAGCGCTTGCGACAGCATCGGCGTGGGCATCGCAGTAAGGAAGGCGTCGAGTGTGCGCTGGTCCTGCACAGAGCGCGCAATGACGTCGAGCGCCTCTGGCACCAGCACCGAAGGCGGCGCGACCTTGGCCTGCTTTTGGTCCGGTGTCATGGTCTGCCGGCCGCACGATGGAAGACACGCTCCGGGATTTTAAATGTGGCATATGCCGCGAAGAGAAGCGTGTCTTGCCAGGGGCATGACCAGGGGGATGACAACCCGCCGGAGGGAAAAAAGTGCTTTTCGGGCCGAGAGGAGGTGTACCACTGTACCCGTGATGACTAATCAAGGTCAAACTAATTTAACGTACCGGTAGTCGAGTGTTTGACCTTTTTAAGCAACAAGTGTGTCGGCCAACGCAAAGGTCGTGCGTGGTCCGTCGCCATCATCAGATCGCGGCTCGCTGCGCGTTTGCGCCAGGCGCTTAAGCATACAAGGTACATAGTTTCATCATCGAGTCTATGCATTAGCTCCAAGGCTTTATGCCGACTTGACGCGGGATGTGTTGTCGAGTTTGTGTCAACTTCCAACTCGTTTTATCCGGATACGCTTTATTATTGGTCAAAATGATTTTGAAATAGCCAATCACAACGCAGGATTAACCTTTTGGAGCACAGCTCATGCAGTTCAGCGGCGATTCGCGCGCGAATTCGACCTTTTGAAAGTACGTGAAAAACGTGAGGTGCGTGACCCAATCGATTTCTGAGTAGTATGCGATTGGCCTGAGGGGTTGTCACGCCCCTCAGAAGGTTGTCATGCCCCAGGGGCATGACAACCCCTCAGAAAAATGGCTTTTGTGTCGCTATTTGCCAGCCTTCCAGCCAATCAGTGGCCTTCAACCTCGGGACATACATTCCTGCACCACATGGCCCTCGTTTGACGAATCAAATCGTTTTGCACCCGAAATCAGCCAATCAGCATGTGCCAGAACACAGAAATCGAGCGTTCGGAGGCCAATCGCATACTACTCAGAAATCGATTGGGTCACGCACCTCACGTTTTTCACGTACTTTCAAAAGGTCGAATTCGCGCGCGAATCGCCGCTGAACTGCATGAGCTGTGCTCCAAAAGGTTAATCCTGCGTTGTGATTGGCTATTTCAAAATCATTTTGACCAATAATAAAGCGTATCCGGATAAAACGAGTTGGAAGTTGACACAAACTCGACAACACATCCCGCGTCAAGTCGGCATAAAGCCTTGGAGCTAATGCATAGACTCGATGATGAAACTATGTACCTTGTATGCTTAAGCGCCTGGCGCAAACGCGCAGCGAGCCGCGATCTGATGATGGCGACGGACCACGCACGACCTTTGCGTTGGCCGACACACTTGTTGCTTAAAAAGGTCAAACACTCGACTACCGGTACGTTAAATTAGTTTGACCTTGATTAGTCATCACGGGTACAGTGGTACACCTCCTCTCGGCCCGAAAAGCACTTTTTTCCCTCCGGCGGGTTGTCATCCCCCTGGTCATGCCCCTGGTGTCTTGCCCGCGTTGAAAATGCGGGCGAAACCAAAATGGCACATGCCACATTTAAGCATGCAAGAAACGTGAGTTGCTCTCTGCGCCATTGCTGTATCTACGTAGATCAACAGTAAGTCACAAGCAACTATAGGTATGTACCTTAGGGTGCGTTCGGTTCGTCCAAAGCACGTGCTTTTCACGTACTTCGAGGCCATCCACGTAACTTCGAAAAAAATATGTTACGCGGGGCATTCGGTTCAAATCCGCGTAACTTGGCGTACTTTGCCGCTAAAGCACGTATTTTCAAAAAACGCCTCGGCCGGCCAGCCGACACAAACCAGCGGCGAACGTTGGGATGCTTTGGGATATATCCTGCCCTCGATCGGAAAAACCTAATTTGAGTCCTTTTTTCACAGATCCCTGATTTGATTTCCAGCAGCGACATGGCCGCGACCATGACCGCAGCGCGCCAAGTCGACACGCTTGGAAGGACCAGGGAGCGCATGCCGCCGCGGACGACGGGCGCGCTAGGTTAGATTAGTGATGCTAACAGTACACACGCAGAGCGCGTCGTGTTGCTTGCTCATCGACTCGACAAGCGTTCTCTCCGAGGTCGAGCGCCCGCTACCTCGTCGC